ACTCGGCCTCACTCATGCCTTTAAAGTAGCGGCGTTGATCCGCGACGACAATGGGCTGGATGCGCTTTCGGAGCTGCAGGCAAAAGCATCATCGTTGGTTATGGTGATCAGTGGCACGTGTTCAAACACAGCTGTGAAGCACCAAGGGTGATTGTGGCTACAGCTCAAACAGTGCCAGCACTTGTGCAAATGGAGGCAGAGCTTCCGCGATCGCACCTCACGGTACATGGGATCCAAGTAAGCATCCAAGTCATTTGCCAGAGCACCAATCACCTGTGAGTGAGAGTGAGTGATTGGGTGAGTGAGTGAGTGAGTGAGTGATTGAGTGAGTGATTGAGTGAGTGAGTGAGTGAGTGAGTGAGTGAGTGAGTGAGCGACTCCTAGCGATAGAGACACCCACGCATACGAATCAACCCCCCGTCCCGCGTTCTCAACAGAGCAGGTTCCTCTCCGCGATCGGAACGTGTCCCTCCGTACCCGTTCGCATGCACGCAGGTCCGCTGTTGTGAATCCGCGTGCGTTGTTCAGCTCTTCGTCTTCTTGATCGCCAGCCACACCAGTGTCAGCGCCATCAAGGCCATCCTCGTCCTCATCTGACCACATCTCCACCAGCAGCTCCCCACCCTTTGTCTTGTCCTCTTCCTCAGCCATCGTCGCCCAACGATCGCTGTTGTAATCGTCTGTGTCGTCGACGTGCACACGTGCTGCGCTGTTTTGTGGGCGTTTTCGCTTTCTCTTGCTTCTCGTGTGCGTGTGTGCGTGTGTGTGTGCGTGTGTGTGTGTGTGTGTGTGCGCGCGCGTGTGTGTGTGTGTGTGTGTTGAAATGTGATAAACATGAGCGTGCGCGCCTTTCAGCTGCGCTCTTCTCGCTCCCACTCTCACAACCCCTCTCCCCATTCCACTCATTCCTGCACTCACGCATTCATTTACAGAGCAACACAACACAAAGCAAAGTAACAGTCAAACACATGTGTCACATCACATCATGTCACACCGTGCGGGAACCAAAGCAATTAGCACACACTCCACATAACCATGAACCCATCCCCTCTTCCTGCTCTCCCTCTGCATCTCCCCACCTCCATCATCTCGACAGCATCGTATCCCACCTTCTCCACATCTCCACATCTTCACAGCACCGCATCACCCTTGCAGGCCTGCCACCATATCTGCTGCTGCGTACAGGGCTGTGCGCGCGTCTGTCTCCGCTGCCAGTGCAGCGAGAGCGCGCGGCGTTCGCCTCTCATCGCCCACGTCGCTCGCAGTGCCTGTGGGGGGGGGGGGGGGGGAAGGGTGCCTTGTTGTTGTTGTTGTTGTTGTTGTTGTTGTTGTTGTTGTTGTTGTTGTTGTTGGTGTTGTTGTTGTTGGGAATGGGCTGTGAACCAGGGAGCACATTTCACAGATAGATAGATAGGCGGCCAGCCGTTCACGCATTAAGAGACAGACGGACACGCAGACACACACAACAGCGTACGC